CCCGCGGAAGGTTCGCGACCCCAGCCCGCGCGCGCGCCCCAGCCCGGCCCCTCCCTGGGGCTCCGGCCCCTGCCCAGGGGGCGCAGGCGGAACACAGGTGGTTCTCACTCGCACAAATAACCCCTTCACCCCACCGCAGTCTGGGGCCAAACGGGGTGATCGCCGGAGCACGCATTTCCTCCGTGTGTTCTCCCGCTAAGTTAAGGGACAAGCCCGGCCGCACACAGACCCGGCGCTCAAGAGGCCACATGCCACCCGCCTGGAGCCCTCCCACAGGTACCCCCACGCGGGGAGCTGTCACTCTGGGGGAGCCACGTGGGACGGCCACCCTGGTGAGGCTCTCTCCAGGCCTCCTCCCACCCCACCCCCACCCCCTGGAGATGGTATCTGATTCCTGGATCCGAGTGTCCTGGGACCAATTTAAAATGCATTTCCTGGACCGCGAGGCAGCGGCGGAGCCCCGCTCTGGCTCCCGGGAACGCAGCCGCGCAGCCCGGGGCACTGGGGGCTGCGCGCGCCCAGAAGGCCCCGCTAATTGGCAGCCGGGCGGCGGGGGAGGAGCCTCCCAGACCCGGCGCCCGGCGCCCCCGCCCCGGGAGCCGGAAGCGCCTGGTGCCTTCCCTGGCCCGCTGGTCCGGCCGGCCCCCAGCAGCCCCTCCCGGGAAGCCGCCCTCCCCAGTGCGGCCGGAGCCCGCTCGCTCAGACGCCGCGGCCCCTGCCCTGCACCCGTGTGCAAGGACATGGGGCCCCCTTCTGCTCCGTGATGTGCAGTTGCTACCCGGCTGGAGGGGCCCTCTGCTGAAGTCTCCCCCGCGGTCAGGCAGGCGTCCCCAGAGCCCATCTGGGGTGCACAGGACCCCGGCCGGCTTCCTCCTCCCCCGGAGGGGTCCGCCCCTCCTGGCCACACCTGCTTGCAGCGCGTCTTTATTTTTATTGCGTGGATCTGACAGGTGTGGAAGAGCAGCTGGGGGCTGTGGGGTGCAAACGTAAAATCGCATGTTGCAACTGTGTGGGCAAAGCCTTGGGGTTGTGGCTCTGGGCTGACACGGAGCCGCCGGCCGTGTGGCTTAGGGGACCGCGTGACATCTCTGAGCCCAGCTTTCCCCTCTGTGAAATGGGCACCGCAGAGGGTCCCACAGCTGCCCGAGAACTCCTGGAGCCCGGCAGGGCGGTCGGCGCCAGGGAGTGGGAGCCCAGCCCCCAGCGGCGGCCTTGGCTGGGGGGGGGGCGCCAGTCCAGTCCTTGGCCTGGCCCCGCCACACCGCCCCCAAGCACGCCGCACTCCTCCCGTTTCCCTTCCAGTCTGTGCCACGCTCCTCACGGCCAGCCACGGCCACGGAGGTCTCGGGAGGTGGCGGTCGGCCGTCTCCCGGGACCGCTGGCTTGATGCGGTGGCCCCGCACCCCCACTGCCTGGCACGGGCCTCCGCAGCTGGCAGTGCAGGCGCGTCTCTGGAACGCAGAGATGGGGACCTCGGTCTATGCAGTGTGGAGCTCGTTCTCCATGAAGCAGGCCGGAGCTATTGATTCCAGCCCGCAGGAACCGCTCCCAGGCGTAAACACCGGCAGCTTCCGACGAAGGCCGAGAGCAGCGGGAAGCTGGGCTGGGCACCCTCCGGTGCTGTCCCCGTGCGGCGGCCGCAGGCCCCCGGAGCCGCCTAGGCGCGTCCAGCCGCTGGCGCAGGGCCTTTGCACGCCCTGGGGACCTGGCCCCTGTCTGTCCCTTTCGTCTCCGGCACGCTCGGCCGTTCCTCCCCAGGAATTCAGCGGCCATACGGTTTGTCTTCTCGCCTGGCCGGTGCGCCCAGCCCTGGCCTGCAGGGCCACGTGGAGGTGCCCTGTCCTGCCTGTTCACACGGACAGGCCCTGCTGGCCAGCACAGCCCATGTGACACAGGCGACTCCCGTCAGCTGCCGCCCTGTGCGGCCTGTGCCCGCCAACCCTGGCCCTCCGCCCCCACGGCCGGGCCCACGGGCGTGAGTGGGGCAGACTGCGGCCCAGTGCTCCCTGCCACGTCCGCTCAGCCTTTCACTTTGTGAACAAAATGTAACGCCGCGGGTCGGGCCGGTCAGGCGACGGCCAAGCCGGCCCGCCGCCTGGCTTCGAGGCGTGGCTGACTCCGTACCGGGGTAGCGCCGCTCACCCGAGCCGTCCTCGGCCGTTTCCGGGTCTGTGCCCTGCGCCAGGCCGGCGTGCCTCAGGGCGGTGGCTGGGGCGTGGCACCTGTTCCTGGCGTGGGAGGCTGGAGCGCGGGCTCGCTGCCGGCCCAGCGGGCTCTGGAGGGCCCCATTCCTGGCCCTGGACGGCGCTCACAGGATGGTGGCCGGGGCGCCCCGTTCCGTCCTTAGAAGGCCGCTGACCCTACGGGCTGGCGCACCCTTGGCCTCACTGGCTGTCGGGCTTCCCACCTGGGATGGCCACGCGGTGGGGCCGCCTCAGTGCACTCGCGGCTCCCCCAGCCCGTGTCCGAAGTCCGGGGGGGCCTGGGGGGCCGCGCCCGGGAGCAGCCGCCAGAGGGGGCCAGGCACGCCTGCCTCTGCGCCTACCTGTCGGTGGCCACAGCAGCTGTGGGCGGGGTGGGGGGGCTGCCTTCCGCCTCCTCCTGAATGGGGGCAGCCACGGCTCCGACAGCGCCCGCCCCGGGTGGGCAGGGGAGCCCGCCTCCCCAGCCCTCTGTACCACCACCCTCTTCAGCTCTGCACCCTGCAGGATCGGGGGAGCGGCCATGCTGGCTGGGGCGCCAGTGAGCAGCTAGGCCTCCAGGGAGCCCCTGGAGGTCCCCCCCCCCCAATGCCTGGGCCCGGCGCCGCAGTGGTTCCTTCCCTCTCCTTAAGTGAAGCTGGGGGCGTCTTGGCCTGGGCTGCCCCCGGGCCCAGGCCTGGGGGGGGACCTGCTGAGCCTGAGGCCTGCTGACCAGCCGGCAGGGCCCGTGAGGACGGTGGCGCTGGCTCGGGCCGGCGGGGCGGCCTGGCCGTCCACACCACAGGACCCGGCGACGACAGGGAAGACACGTCTCGAGGTGAAGTCCTGGCTCGGGGCGCCTGTTCGCCAGGAAAGCCAGAAAGGCGGGAGCAGGGCGGCCACCACCGACCGACGTGGCCTCCCACAGGCAGGGCCTCCAGGCAGCTGTCCTCCAAGGGCCCTGCCCCGAGTGGTGCCTCCCAGACCACCCAGAGCTGCCAGGACCTCCCCTCTGTGACCCTCCCGAGGAGGGACAGCGGTGGGCACTGCGCCAGCAGGTCCCTGCCCGGCCCCAGGTCCCTGCCCCCACGTCAGCCCCAAGGCTGCGCCCCGTGGGCAAAGAGCTGCTCTCGCCAGGCCCGGGCACCGATGGTGGCAGCAGGCAGCGAGCGCCCCTGTCCACCTGCGCTCCTGTCCACCAGCGGGGCCTCGGTCCGGCCCCCAGGCGCACCACGGGCACCTGGAGGCGGGCGCTCGGAGGGCTGAGCCCTGGCCGCGCCCTCTGGCGGCCCCCAGCTCAGTCTCGGGGTGCCTGCGGGCGCAGGGGCTCGGCGTGGCCTGCCGAGGCTCAGGGTCTGGCTTTCTCTCTCTGTCCGTCACACTGCCCTGTTGTCTGTTTTCACGGAGCTCTCGGAGACGGCACA